TCAGTGCACATGTATACATTAAATAATAAATGTATTTTTTATCACCATATACTGTGTTTTTGTTGCTCGAATGAATTTTATTATTTCTTCAAGGTTCTTCACATACATACCCCTTAAGAGATATCAAGTAGGCATAACATGTTCTCAAAAAATTAGTGTTGGCACGCAGAAGAATTTTGAGTCAGAGATTTTGCTGGTTTTGGCAGGCACTCACAAAAAGGTTGCCCCCCCTGTCCTAGGTAATGCTTCTATCCTTATATCCTGAATCTTTAAATATAAATATATTAGAGGCCTGATGCACGTAATTCATGCAAGGGGCTTGGCCCTCACAGCCATGGCGGCTGCCTCAGCCCTCGCAGCCCCGGTTTTGTCTGGAAGGTCATCCAGAAGTACATCCGGGAGGTCATTTAGCTGTCCGGTCTAATTAGCATATTATGTTTTTATTATTATAGATATGTATGTAAAGTTGTTTTACACAATGGAATTACTGAATTGTCATTTTGAGGGTAAATCAGTGGAAGTATATTTATTAAACCACACCACAAGAATCTATGATCACTGAAATTCACACACTTCCATCATTTTATCATTAAACCAAAAATCAGCAGTCTTTATGTAATAGAGCCATATCTAAAATTCATATAGGTCTATGTATTTTTAAGATCAAGATACTTGTGTAATCCAACTAGAAAAACAAAAATAAAAGTAGCCCTAGCTGGTTTGGCTCAATGGATAGAGCGTCAGCCTGCAGAATGAAGGGTGCCAGGTTCAATTCTGGCCAAGGGCACATGCCTGGGTTGCGGGCTTGATCCCCAGTAAGGAGTGTGCAGGAGGCAGCCAATCAATGATTCTCTTTCATCATTGATGTTTCTATCTCTCTCTCTCCCTCTCCCTTCTTCTCTAAAATCAATAAAATATATATTTTTTTGAAAAAAGTAAAAGTAAATGTTGGGATGAAGTTATTCATATATTTTATTTTTTAGGACAAAGGTCTCCAAACATATTTTGCTTACATTCCTAATAAAATAATTTTGCAAAATTATGTTTCCTCCTAATAGTTTTTAATTCTAAGTTTCAATATTTGCAAAGGGTGTAATCACTGGCATAATATATATTATTTTAAGAAAATTATTATATGATTTTGATAATTGTAGCCAATGACAAGTAAATGTCACAATAACTTGATACCTACCACAATTCACTTAAAAAACACATGTACAAGCTTATCTTTAACAGTTGGTACTTTTACATTGTCTTTTTTTTCCTTTTAAACTTGACTATGACAAGGTTCAACCTCAATTCAATTCCTATATTTAATTTGTATGGATTTAACCTTGATAAACCTTGTTAACCTGAATAGGTAGGAAAATGTTTTATTGTAGCAATGTCAGTCAAGTTTGCATGTCTCCCAAGTTATATTCTACAAGTAACAATGATGTATCATTAAAATATACTTATAAATTGAAAATTCAATTAGGTCTTACTTCATTTTTGCTGGGAAAAAAATGTACAGAATAATTTACTCCCAATAATTAGGACCATTCACTTTTTCATTCCAATACCAGCATTTTGAAAGACATTTAGGTTTTTATACATGAGGGCAATACACCAAGGTTAAGTTTAGAGAAGGTGAGAGGTATGCTTTTCTTTTGCAAAATTAAGAAGGGTTATTGAGGAAGGGGAGTGGAAAAGGAGAACCAGGAGACAAGTTCTCATACAGCTTCATTTTGGAAAAAGTATAATGAATGTTGATAATCTAGAAACTGATTACTTACCTACCCTGTATAACCCTTGAAGAGCCTCATGACCACAAATTGGAAGGCAGCTTCCTTGAAAGTCCTTTATTTATAACACTATTATAAAGCTAATAGTCCTAAAGACGCTGCTTCTAATTTGTAGCACTAAGTTGACCTGATCTCTTCCTATTTCAGTTTCTCTAAAGCATGTCTACTTACTTATTTCATAGGAATTTAAAAAGCTTTATTCAAAGGGCATAAAAGAGTAAATAAAATTTTTCTAGTTTCCTTCCTACTCAGGTCTTTTTAAAAAGGAACTACAATTATCCATCATTTATATTTTCAAATAATCCAATTATTCCTTTTTTTCACATAAATGATAGCATACTACATATACTGCTCTTTACTTAGTCTATATACTTAATATAAGTATCCTGGATACTTATCTTGGATATCTTTTTATAGCAGCTTATATAATCTATCACATAGTATTCTGTTGTCATGTCATAGGCAGAAGCAATAAAGCAAAATGATTAAGAGCATGGATTCTAAAAAGACTGGTTGGTTTAACACTTAACTTTCCTACTTACTAACTGTGTGACAGCACTGAGCAAGTTACTGAACCTCTACATGCTTCAGTTTCTTTATGTGTAAAATGGGGATTAATAATAGTAATTACTTACCTTTATGTTATAGATATGATGCTTAAATATGCTAACACTTGTAAAGAGCTTAGTATAGTGCCTGGCACATAAGAAGCACTCATTCATATTGTAATCTAAATCTGAATAACGACCTTGAGACATTTAGGTCCTTAATAAAGTCTATAAATATAAAAGATTCCTTTGGGAAAAAATATTCCTTTAGATATCACATGTAAACTTACCTTTGTTGTAATAATAATCTGTTTTCTTTTTCTTTTAAAGCTTTCTTTAGTTCTGCTGTTCTTGAAGGCCTATGTAGGTATTTCCTTTTTCCTGTGTATTCATAAGTCCAATGTCCAAATTCCAAGCATTTCTGACATCTTACATGTTGCTTATTTGCTTCACTACAGAGCAAAAATCAGAATACAGGTCTTAAATTCTGCCCTGAAAAGCATAAACAATATAATGTGTAAAATGGTGTTTTTTTAAAATAGAAACAAACATCATTTTACATTTTAAATTGTTTATGTTAGGTTTAATCACAAGACAGCATAGTAAGTGGTTAAGAGCATGGACCTTGAAGTTAAGACAGAATTTAGCTCAAATCTTCATTCCTCAATTCCACTCCAGCAATGGCAGACTAGGTAACTCAGACATCGCTTAGGTTCAGAACTAGAAAAGACAGTGAAAACATTTAAAACAATCTGCTCGAGGCATGAGAGAACTAACAATAAAGTAAAGAATAACCAAGCCAAGATACAGAAGAAGATAGAAATCCAGAGTGGTCAGCCCTGTAGTTTGTATCTGTAATTAGGACTCAGAAGGTCTATCCGTTAAGAATAAACCAACCACATAAAGAGTGCAGCCCGGTTTCTAAACATCTAGGAGACTAAGAAAAATCTCAGTTCCTGAAATTAGATTAAGATGCAGCAAGCAAAGAAAAGCAGATGAAAGAATTGGAAAGGAAGAAATCAAATTATCATTCCTCACTGATGATGTATTATGTACATGGCAAATCCAAAAGATCTACAGATAAAATATTTTTAATAGTTTGAATTCATAAGTGAGTTTAGCAAGGCTTTGGATTGGGGTCAGCAAACTGTCCGTAAAGGGTCAGACAGTAAATATTTTAGACTTTGCAGATCAAGAGGCAAAAGCGAGGATATTATCCCCAGCTAGCATGGCTCAGTGGGCTGAGCACTGTCCCATGCTCCAAGAGGTTGCTGGCTCAATTCCCAGTCAGGGTATATGCTTGGGTGGCAGGCTCAATCCTCAATAGGAGGCATGCAGGAAGCAGCCGATTGAGGTTTCTCTATCATAGATGTTTCTATCTTCTCTCTCTCCCCTTCTCCCACTCTCTAAAACAGGGGTCCTCAAACTACGGCCTCCTGGCCGCATGCGGCTCGCCGAAAACATTTATCCGGCCCACCGGGTGTTTTTGCTGCTGCTGTGTGCATAGGAATTTGTTCATAGTTTTTTTTTAAACTATAGTCCAGCCCTCCAACGGTCTGAGGGACAGTGAACTGGCCCCCTGTTTAAAAAGTTTGAGGACCCCCTGCTCTAAAAAAAAAATCAATAAAAACATATTTAAGGAAAAAAAGTGAGGATATTATGTAGATACTTATATAACAAAAAAAAAATTTTTTTCTGGAAATATTTTGTTAATAAAAATATTTCATATAAAAGAGGTTTACTAATGAGAAGAATGGAATTCTTTTTTGGAGGATAATGTTTCACTCAATTGAGATTAAAAGTTAGTATTCCCCACCATCAAATTGATCATATATATTAGTAACATTCTTCATACCCCCTGGCTAGGTAGCTCAGTTGGTTGGAGTGGCATCCTGATACACCAAGGTTGCAAGTCTGATCCCTCATCAGTGCACATACAACAATTAACTAATGAATGCATGAATGGGTAGAACAATGGATCTTTCTTTGTTTCTTTCTTTGTTTCTTTCTTTCTTCTTACTTTCTTTCTCTCTCTCTCTACAATAAGTAAATAATTTAAAAAACCACAACATTCTTAGTTTGCAAGACTACAAGAATAGGCAGCAGGCGGGATTCAGTTTGCCAAACTGTATTAGATAAGGTCAACACGTAAAAATGAATTGTTCCTATATAATAAAAAGTTAAAAATTTACTTAAATATGTTTTTATTGATTTCAGAGAGAGGAAGGGAGAAGGATAGAGATAGAAACATCAATGATGAGAGAGAATCATCAAATGGCTGTTTTCTGCAAGCTCTCTACTTGGGATCGAGCCTGCAACCTGGGCATGTGCTCCAACCAGGAATTGAACTGTGACCTTCTGGTTCATGGGTCGACACTCAACCACTGGGCCACACCAGCCAGGCAAAAAATGAAATTTTAAAAGGTGACATTTATAATATCCTGAAAAATACCCAATACCTACAAATAAATAAAAGAAAATATGTGTAAGACTTTTGTACAGAAAACAAAGATTATGGAGAGGAACTAGAGTCTAGTTACTAGACATTTAGATAAATAGCTAATAGCTAATAGAGGGATATACCATGTTCATAGAATGGAAGACCCAATATTATAAAAATGTCCCTTCTCTCCAAATTGACCTATAGATTTAAAGTAATGCCAATTGGTAAAGACCTATAAGAGAAATATCTGAAAGTCTGCCAAAATGAGCTGAGACTAGTAAAAAATATCAAGAACATAAAAAATTATTTTGTGTCTTAGTTATATTTAAATCATAAAGAATAAAAAAAGGAATAGGTTCACTATTTGGTGTGCTAGGTAAATAGGCCACCAATATTACATTATGGACTTAGAGATCAAGCAGGACTATTTTATTTTGCTTAGTCTGAACTCAGGTATTATTATCCTCCTATATAATAAAAGCCTAATATGCAAATTCCCCTCGACCGGGAGTTTGACTGCTTGCCATGACGTGGGCTGACCACCAGGGGATGGCACAGAACATGGTGGGCACCGGCAATGTGGCACTGGCAGTGGGCAGCAGTGCAGGCCCTGATGAGAGCGGGACCTCGGCGGGAAGGTGGAGCAGGTGAGCAGGTGGTGGCGGGCCAAAGTGGGTGCAAGTGGGGCCAGGCCAAGGTGGGGACCAGTGGCGGGGGGTGGGGTTCCGCCTGGCTCTCAGGTGCTGAGGGAGCCGGGTGGGGGCCCCATGACTCAGGCGGAGGGGGGAGGGGCAGAGGGCCGGAGGCCCAGGTACTGCCCAGGGACTAGAGGTCAGGTGGGACCTGCCCTTCCACACCAGACACTCACGCTTCAATCACTGGCCAGGCCTAGGGACCATACCCATGCACAAATTTCGTGCACTGGGCCTCTAGTACACAGAATAAAAAGAGTAAAACTGAAGTCCAAGATATTTGAGGAGTATGTAACAGAGCCCTAATTTATTTGGAATGTGTTTAAGTTATATGACCAGGTGAATGCTCCCTGACATATCAGAGATTTTCCCAGGTGAGACTATTGGACTGCTACTGGTAATCTGAGGAACTCTGGAATATAGAAGTGGTACTGAAAGACTAGAAGCAGGCAAATTCTGTTTTGATTTTAGAAGTGAAGGATAGATTCCTCAAACTAGATCATTGATTTGTAGAGATCCACTCAATTGTACTCAGAAGATTATGAGGTCTAAGTCAATCAGAGCTTCATAATCCCATAGACTTGGCTCAGGGTTGGGCATGTAACCCAATCTAGACCAATGAGATGCCATCAACTTGAAGCTGAGAGGATATAAATGACCCTAGATACTGCAGCCATCTTTATGCCTAAGGATTGGACCCAACACCCAAAAGAACAAGCCTGAGAGAGAGTGGACCCTGGTGACATCATTTAGTATGCTTTTTAAGTATTATTAGCACTCCATTCTTGATCTCAGAACTGTGTGACTTTAAAGTCTCCTTCCTTCATTAAGCATACTATGTACTCTGACTCTCTCAGTCTTTATCCTTATGCTCAAGGAACTCTTCTTAACTGGCAGGACAGACAGAATCTGATGGAGGGGAGAGGAAAATGGACAAGGATCTTAGAATAAAAAATATCAATATTAAAAGAAATACAGCTCTGGTCAGTGTAGCTCAGCTGGTTGGAACCTCATCCCATGCACCAAAAAGTCATGTGTTTCATTCCTGATCATAGCACATACCTAGGTTTTACTAATAGGTTGGACCAGGGTCTGGGACTTACTGAAGGCAACCAAACCATGTAATCTCTCTTACATCGATGTTTCTCTCTCTCTCTTCCTCCCTATCTAAAATCAAGAAAAAGAAAAGAAATATAAACATATACAGTATATGCCAGCAGAATGTAGTGATATATGTATTTTTAAAATATATTTTGTTGTGGGCACATCCCCAGTGGGAGATGTGCAGGAGGCAGCTGATCGATGGTTCTATTTCATCGATGTTTCTAACTCTCTATCCCTCTCCCTTCCTCTCTGTAAAAAATCAATAAAATATATTTATTTATTTATTTATCTTCCATATTCTTTTTTTAAAAAATATATTTTATTGATTTTTTTACAGAGAGGAAGGGAGAGGGATAGAGAGCTAGAAACATTGATCAGCTGCCTCCTGCACATTCCCTACTGGGGATGTGCCTGCAACCAAGGTACATGCCCTTGACCGGAATTGAACCTGGGACCCTTGAGTCCGAAGGCCAAAGCTCTATCTACTGAGCCAAACCAGCCAGGGCAGTGATATATTATTGATGTGCAAATGGTGATGGCATGAAATGCTGCAAATGAAAAAGAGGCAAACGTTTGGGTGAGCAGGTTGGCAGAAGCAAAGAAGAGCTATCTGGGAGATTCCTGCACTGTCTATAAGCAAACCTCTTGTGCCACTCTCCCCCCCATCATTTGCCACCATGGCCATCTCTCGGTTCTAAAAAACGAACTTCTCGCTTATCTCAAAGCAATTATGCTACCGTCGGATGCTCCTTCCCCAAATCCTCTTACGACCACCGGCTCCTTTCTCACACTTTGAATCTGTTCAAGCGTCACCTCTTCACAAGTGCCTGTCTGTTCAACCAACCTAACCCGGCCTTTCCCTCTCCCACCACCTGTTACTGGCTCCCAAGTTCTTATCATAACCCGTATTTACGTAAAATGTTTACTTTATCGACCCTTTCCACCACTAGCATGGACGCTCCCTGAAAGCGGAGTTTG